ACTGCTCTGTAAGCAAAGAAAAGGGGGACTCTGGAGGGCCATCTGGGCGTTCTCTGGTCAATGGGCATGCAATTTTGTTCCCTTCAAGGAGAGATGGGGAATCACATCATCTGAGGTAGAAAACAGCTAGACATCAGGCTTCTGTACCAAGAGCAGAAAAGAAAACTTGCCTGAGATCCTGCAGGAATCAAGAATCACCCCTATGGCCTCACTAGGGAACTCCCAGGCTCTTCTGAAAGGCACCTCCAGAGCAGCAGCTGCAGATGAAATTTATCATTGAATTCGCACTGTCACCTTGTGGTAGAAGCTAAGCACTGCGTGGTCCTAACCTGCGAAGTATTTATGCGTATCAAATCTTTGCTTTTTCTCCTCATTTTCTTTTCATTTAGCTTAAATGACAGGACAGAGAATAATGATATTTACTGAGGTAGAGAAAATAATACTGAAGGCAGTTTGATTGGAGGGAGAGTGAACTTGTATTGGTGCAAATTGAGCCAGGAGTGTCTCTAACAGGAAAAACAACAGAAATCCTATCAATTTCATGGCAGGGAGAAAGGTATAAATAAATGAGGCCTGTTACCTTTCTACTGAATTTGTTTCTCTATGTGAAAAATTTGGAAAAAGCTCCTTACTTTTAAGCAAAAGTATAGACGTAGTTTAAGCTATAATTAATTTATATTCTTTTTTTCCCCTAATCAATCAATCACTTGGTCCCTTCCCTCCCCAGAAAAATTATTACAGTGGGGATTTGGGGAGGGGAGGGACAAGGCCAGGGACTGTACATCCCTATACCTCAGAGATAACTTGCTATTTTGTTTGTGACTTTAATTCAAGTCTGCTTGTCAATAGGCAGAGCCATCTTTCCCAGCAAGAAATGGGGTGGGGTGGGGGATATCATTCTACTGTACTTATATTTCCTTACAAAAATAAACTCTGAAGTAAATGGATCTGAGGGGGTGCTGTGTGTCTCAGCCGGTTAAGCACCTGCCTTCAGCTCAGGTCATGATCCTGGAGTCCTGGGATGGAGTCCCCACGTCAGGCTCCCTGCTCAGTGGGAAGTCTGCTTCTCCCTCTGCCCCTTCCCCCTTTTGCTTGCTTGCTTTCTCTCTAATAAATAAATAAATAAATAAATAAATAAATAAATCTTTTAAAAAAATGGATCTGAGAGAGGTAGGTGATCCTAGAAGACAAATTTTGTGCCTTTTAAATTGAATTTCATATAATTCCAGGTTCTGCAGAAGGGAGGCTGGCTGGGTTCTCTGGGTGCTAGTGAGCAGGTGGCAACAGTTGGGCACTCACTCCTTCCCTTCTGCTGTCATCTGTTTTGAACAATGAGCTTTGGTGTAACATTGTATTAGTCTGCTATGGCTGCTGTAACCAAAGACCACTGGCTGGGTGACTTTAACAGCAGACATTTATTGTCTTATAGTTCTGGATGTAGAAGTCCAAGATCAAGGTGCCATCAGGGTTGTATCTGGGAGGAGCTCTCCTCCTGGCTAGCAGACATTCCTCTTCTCACTGTGTCCTCCTTTGCCTGGGGCTTATGCAGGGGGTAGGGGGAGCACTCTCTAATGTCTCCTCTTACAAAGAGATTAGTCCTATTAAATCAGGGCCTCTCCCTTATGACCTAGTTTCATCTTGATCATTTCTGTAAAGACTTTCTCTCCAAATATAGTCACATTGGGGGTTAGGGCTTCAACATATGGATTTTAGGAGGGGATGAAAACAGACTTGTGGTAGCATCTGAAAGCCTCGTGCCCTTGTCAGAGCCCCGCTCAGACTGAGATGATGAAGAGGAAGGTGAAATGAAGACAGGATGGGCCAGAGAGGGCTCGGGATTCACCCAGGCCCCGCCAGTGACAGGATGGCAGGGCTGAGGCCGCATCACCACGCGTGACAGCATGCACAGGGCTCTCTTCCCCCATAGGTTACATTTTTAATTTACTGGAGACATATAGGTTACCAAGTCAAGCCACAGAAACTTAAAGGAAAATCCAGAGTGGGGCTGAAATGCTCTGCACATTGAGAGTCAGTGGGGGACAATTCTACTGAAACACGGGACTAAACCAAACATACAGAGACGCTCAGAGGGCATGCTTAATTTCCATAGAATGGAGGGAAAGTTTCATTTTGATGTAAGATTTGCAAAGATTCTGAAGCAAACTTCTGGGTAATGTTGATAACGCTGATGACTACGTCTGACTCCACTTGCGTGGACACAGCTGGACCGTAATCTCTACTTTTGAGCCTTCTTAGCCAGATTAGCATAGTTTTTACCCACAAAAGCTAGGAAGAGATAAAGAGGTGTGGACTTTTTCTGGGGTGACTGGAAAGGATCTCAGACCTATCTCACCCCATCAGACCGGGGTCTGATACAGACACGGCATGTTTGCTACCATGTGGTCCAAGCAGGAGCTTGGGGAGAGCATGACAGCAACAGTGATGGATGGTGTGGGCTGGGGGACAAGGCTGGCATGTCTCCCAAAGCCAGTTGTGTCTGTGTGGGGGAAGCAGAGCACTGTCCCTACTAGTGGCACTGGAGGCCACATACACACATGGAGGAAAGGAACAGGGTGGGTTGGTTGGGGGGTAGATTGCTCAACCAGAGCCTGGCGAGACAGGAGAGTTGGGGGATGTGGCGCTCACTGAAATCAATGAACAGAAAGGGGCCAGGAAACAAACACGTCAAGGAGACAGAAGTAACTGATTTCTTCATATGTTTTCCCGGCTGTGGAAGATCCCGACGTAGTCTACAGTGAACATGGAGAAAATCAGCAGGCATTTTGAGTACCGTGAAATGGGTCTTGGGAGGGGCTCTGGCAGAGGAGGGGGAGCCCCAGAAGCTTCCAGGGCTTTGGGGGCTGTGCTCTAACTTTTTTCAGGTGCTGACTCTTCCAGGAAACAGCTCTAATTCCTCTCCCAGCCTGGTGCCTGTCCCAAGGGCTTGCAGGGAGGTGGGTGTCAGAAAGGACCCAGCCATCGCTTTTGTCCCTCTGGCCTGGGAGGTGAGTGGCTCCATGGAAGGGCAGGGTGGGTGCTGGTGGGTGGTGGCAAGGAGGGCAGAGGAGAGGCTCTGCACATAGTGTCCACAAGGACTTGAGATCCTGAAAGTGCTTTGGGACATGAGCAGTACAGCTCAAAGGTGAAAAGGTGCCCTACACCCATTCCGTGGGTGAGAGGCGGGGGTGTAAATAGGCTTGGGGCTTCCCACAGGGCTTCGGTCATTCCCCATGGGGTGCTGCTTCAGCCCCTGCTATCTCCTGCCAACCCAGTCCAGGGTGGACATGCACGGAGCCCACCTTCTCCCCTCTACACAAGCATGGGATACAGGGCAGGAGCTATGGGTGTCCTTGACCATGCCTGGCCAACCTGCCCCACACCTCTTTGATCACAGGTAGGGGCAGAGTCTGTGTGGGGATCCTGGCTACTCTCGCTGGGCATCTTCATCCTTTTTATCTCCCCCCCTTCTCTCTCTGAGTCTGGGTGTCCCTCCCTTCTCTTCTCACTGTGTTCCCTTGTCCCACCTTTCGGGGTTATTGTCTTTAATGGTGGAGTGAAGGGTGGGCTCAGTAAAGACAATTTAAGGACTCGTGGACTGTGGGGGAAGGGCCACTATCTCTGGGCTCTGGACACTGTCACCTTTGTGGCCACCCACTCAGCCTGTGTGTGAACCCAGCTCAGGCCCCAGGACTCCCCCTCTCAGTTCCCACTGCAGGGCCTATGACTAGGAATCTGACTGGTCACTGGATTGAGGCTAAATGGCTTCCTGTCTTTACAGCACGCAGCTCAGGGCATGGTCTAAAAAACAGGGCTGTGGGACAGCTGCTTCCCTCTCCATTTCACCTGGTTTTGCAAAATGACTGAGCCAGCCTCTGTGGAGTGCAGACTTCTTATGAGTCATGCTTATGTGACCTGATTTTCCGCATCTGCAAAGCTGAAAGGCAGGTGCTGGCACACAGGGCCCCCGGATGCTGTCCTCGTGACCACCCTATCCTGTTTCTTCCCTGCTCAGCATCTGCGGGTTGAACTTTCATTTTCCCTGCATCCTGGGTGCCTGGGGCAGCCGGCTCTCCATCATCAGACCTGCTGCAGAACGCACCACCTCCCCGCCAACCACCTCCATTTCCCTCTGGGACAATGCACGCCCCCCCCCCCACGTCTGTGCACCTGCCACATATTGCCCCTGAAACGCTGACGCTGCTGGAGGTGCAGATGTCCATCCAGGATTGGGGACCCCACCACTGTCACAAACCCAGATGCCTACAGGCTCTGCAGGGAACATACAAGCTGTCACTGATGGAAGGGGACAAGCCCTGGGCAAAGGGCAGAGCTGCCCTGAGTTCTACAGACTGTCACCATGGAGCCTCCCCCAGGCCTTATGTTCAGACATCTGGGCTTTTAAATACATTATCTTGATTTTTTAATGCTGGCAACTAAGTAGCATGCAGCTGGCTGTCATTGGCTGGCGGGTGCCAGTGGCTGTCAGTGAACACTTAATGCACCACGTGATGTTCTGGTCCCTTCTGCACGGTGAAGTCACCATGCTGGTCACCACCCCTCCCAAGCCAGGAAACAGATGCACACACAGACGCGGTCACTTGCACCAGATCTCAATTTAATAAGTGGCATTGGAACACTGACTGCCTGGATGGCCCTCCCATAAGAAACCAGGAGCTTTCATGCCTTTCTGTGTAAGACTCAGAACCCTGACAGCTGTTTTAGTGAAGTTCCCTGTGCATGGTGAGTACACATTATCTTTGTTAAACCTCACAGCAGCCCAGTGGAGACCTTATGTTACGGGTCAGGAAGCTCAGTTCAGAGGGAGTGACTTTCCCAAGGTCTCTCAGCCTCTGTTTGGAGGGCTGTGATGGAAACTCAAGTCTGTCTGGCTCCAAAGTCCCAGGTCCTCCCATGTAGTCTGGGTGCTCTCTGAATCCCGCATGTCTGACCGAGGGCCAGACCCAACAGGGCCATCCCCGGGGGGGTGGGGAAGTGGGCGGTGAACGAGTGTCTGGAGCTTGGCTTCTGAGGTTGCTGGGCAGGACTCTGGGGCAGCCTCCTAGCATGGGGCTCAGTCCAGGGTGTTGGGGTGGGCCTGGGTCCGAGCAGCCCCCCAGAGAACCTCACCGGGCTCGGTCCCGCTCGCTTCTCTGGGGTGAGAGGCACTGCCAAATGCCCTTGTGGACCATCTCGCTGCCCAGGGCATAGTTGATGGCATTAATCGTGGGCACTGTTTTGGCAATGAGGGCAGGCACCTGTTGGGACAGAAAAGTTCAGGGAAAAGCCTCACAGCCTCAGCACCTCTCCCTGGTCCCACTTGGTGACCCCAGTCCCACCCTCACCCCGCCCGCCACAGCCACCAGTTATCTGTCCTGGGCTGGATTCTGCAACTCCCAAGGCCTCCTTGACCAGTTGGCAGATGAGGCATGGAAGCACCCCCCTCCCACCCACCCCCCCCACCGGCCTGAACACCAGTCTCAGCCTTGGTCCCAGAATGTGTCTGTCCCTGAGACAACGTCAAGCAGCAGCCCTGTGTGGCCCCCAAGAGAAACAAATTCCCAGGGCGGTATGAGCATTCTAAGGAAAAAGGAAAAGACTACCAGGAGGCCAGAAAGCAGGAAAGAGAGATGGTGCAAGACAGAGAGACACAGAGATGGAGAGAGTTCTAACTCTGGGTCTGGGAGGGCTCCGTACCATCTGCAGCTTGGGGGAGATGGAGCTCACATCCACGATCGTTGCAGAGAGATACAGGAGGGCATAGGGGCCCCAGCCGAACAGCAGTGTCCTGGCCGGGAGAGTGGTGTTCACCTGCGGAGAGATGGTCACGGGAGAGAGGCGCTGACTTGCTCTAGCTGGCTGCAGCCCCCCACGGGGGAGGGACGGGGTGGACACTCAGCAGGGCGGGGCAGTGTGACCCAGCTGTGGGAAGGCGCTGAGCCTGCAGAGGAGCTCGGGGCCAGATGGACCTCTCTGTCAGGTAAGCTGTGTGACCCTAAACCTGTCATTTAACCTCACATGACTTCAGTTGTCTTGTTTGCAAAAATGGTTTGATAATGCTTCACTTACCTGGAGGCAGGGACTAGGGGTTGGATAATGAGCTCCCTTCCTGGTCCGCGCTCTTTCTGAGGAACTCTGGGCTCCATGAGTGTGGCTGGGTGAGCGAGGCTCCCCAGGCTGAGCTGCCTTCACAGCTCAGTCCCAGAACCCGCTCGCCATCAGCCTGCGGCGGCTGCAGCCACCTAGTGGATCTACCTGTCCCCGGTTCAAAGCGGCTTTGCAAGGTGTGAGACAACCCGGGGAGCGAGCCCTGTGGTACCGCCTCTGGCCACAGGGAGGCGTACGACTTGCGATCTATTCTCAGAATGGAAGCTGCGGTTCCGGCTTCCCCCGCACATTCAGATGTTAAAATGCTGCAGCTGGAAATCAGTGTCTGTTTTCTCTTTGCGTCTCCCTTTAACGAAGAAGGTGACTTAAGTTGAAAGAGGGCACATTTCTTTCATGAAATAAAAATATGTTCGTTGGGAGACATTTATTCTCTTGAATTGCCCCTCCCTCATTCCAAAAGGAAAGAAAAGAAAAGAGAAAAGAAAAGAAAAAAGAAAAGAAAAATGTGCTTCTCAGAGGCCCGAGGAGCACTGAGGCCTCAGCACCTCCGGAGATCGGCCTGCCCTTGACCGAGATCCCCCTGGCCCATGCGCCGCGACCTCTGCTGATGCTGCGGGAACTGATGGTTTCACGACAGGCAGGGGAGGGGGAAAAAAGCACACCGGTGTGGCAGCCCTGTCTCCTGGCCGATTGAATTTCCAGTAAATGTGGCGACTTTGGGCACCCAGGTAGTGCTTGGGAGGGCAGCGCGGAGGACAGCCCGGAGGCGGTGAGGGGCGGGGGAGCAGGAGCCCAGAGCCACGCACGATTCCTGTCTCGGCCCAGCTCTCGGCCTCCCGCTGACTCTGAGCAACCTGGATCTCCGGCTAAAATCGATTTGTACAGTCCTTTTCCAATTCACAAGGGGAAAACAAAATGTGGCAGATTAAGTGTCTCAACAAAGATTGAGTGTTTCTTTTATGCACTATGACCACTTGGGTCATGGAGTCCCAGGCCTGGGTTTGATCCAATTCTGTTATTACTAGCTTCCCAGCTTGTAGCTAGTTACTTAACAAGCCCTTACTATAACCTCAATTTTCTAGCCTGTGGCAAAGTGATAACAAAACCTTCTTTAGAGAGTAGTTGCAAAGATGGAATGTCATCATACGCAGAAAAGTAGTATTAGTATCTGATTTTTTTTTTCTTTGAAACTTGGGTGCTTGTTATGGCTCATCTGCTAGAGATTGTCGAGGGGACAAAAGAAAATTGTGGAAAGGGACTAATGCAGAAATTCAGGAACGGCCAGGAGGGCTTTTTTTTTTTTTTTTTTTTTTTTAGGATTTTTTTTTTTGGACAAATGTGCTTGCAGGTGTGATTTTATGTTCTGGATAACAGTCTGTGATTAAACAAAACATCTTGGAGCAATTTAAAAGGAATATTTGAAAAGTATGTCATTTTGTGCCTACCCCCAAGTCCTTGGGAAGAATGAAATGTGACAGCATGAATGGGGTCTGGCAGGGTGCCCTGACTCTCAAGGTTCTGAGGTCTGGTAAGTCTGAGCAGTCCTGACCCTTCCTCCCGGATCTTGGCAATGCCCAGCAGTGGGGAGGGGACATTCCTGACCCAACAGCCCAAGCTCTGTGAACGTTGAATTTTTTCCTGATCACTGAAAACAGAAAACCCCTAACTACTGTCTCTCACATCAGTCATGTTCCTTGAGAGGGACAGAGGGATTTCTTCCTCTCTGGCACTGATCCTCACCTGGAGGTGGCCCGTCTTCCTGAGTTTCTGCTCCATGAGCTGATATGATATGACTGTGATGAAGAGAGGCAGGAAGAAGTTGAAAAAGGCCATGGTGAAGAGGAAGCTGATGAAGTTTCTGCAGGCAGAGGAGGTAGAGGAGTCAGGGTCATCTCTGGGGATGGGGGGAGGTCAGCTGCCCTTGAAGACGTATTAGCCTTCGCCCTAGACAGCCACATGTGAGGAACTGTTCTCATCAGACAAAAGCTCTGAGTGCGGTCGCCCCAGGTTCCCACACAGACTCCCCTTAGAGACAGGGAGCCACTAGGTCCTTCTTGAACTTGCCTTTAAGAGCCAGAGGGCTGAGATGAGGGGGAGTCCTCCTTCAGCTTTCTGTTGGGCAGTTCAGGTACTCAGGCCTGCTTTCTGTATATGCCCCGAGCATGGAGAATAGGACACTTCAATTTGGAAAACACGTTTACCAAGTGGAAGATAGGTCAATGGACCAAGAGGAAGGATCGTTCAAGGAATGCTCCTGGCACAGGGACTTGAAAGGGGTCTGGAGATGGCAAAGAGACTGGACAGTGTCACTGAAGAAATCACTGAAAGGACCACAGGAGAGTCTGGGGTTCCAGGAAGGGTCATGGGAAAGTGGGAGGGCTGATCAGGAACAGGTGGGACTCCCAGGAAGGTAGACTCCCATTCCGTGAAGGGAAGACTGTGTTACCTTGGTGCTGCCCAGTAGGGAGGGGTAGGAGAGAAGGCTGCCAGAGAACTGGACACTGGCCGGGAGGACACCTGTAGGGAGTGCACCTGTAGGGACACCCTGGAGTGCCCTGAGACTTGGGGTCTCAAGCAGGTTTCACCTGGAAAGCCTGTCATCAGGGGCAGATAGGTCATGAGTAGACTTGTAAAGCAGATGAATGCAACATGGCTCTAGTAGAAGAAAGAGCGGGGCTGGAGCCTATGCCGCTCCTCCCCAAGATGTCCCCTAAAGGGTCTCTCTAGGCCCTGGTGTCTCCAGAGCCACATGAATGGGGCAGTACTGGACACATGCTCCATGACGGTGGGGGCCATCATGCATCAATCTTGTCTCTCTAGGGCTTGGCCCAGGGGTTGGCTCACAGCAGGTGCTCAGGAAACGCAAGAACTAAACTCTATGCCAAGGAGGTCCCTCCCAATGCAAAGACCTTAACATTCCTTGTACTGAACAAAGGACACAACTCCCTTAAGAAACGGATCAAGTCGGAGCTGGAACAGCCTGGCTGCACTGAAGATGGCAAAGAGGTCATGGGGCTCAGTTACTGCTGACTGTGACTCAGTGACTCACACAGGCCAACAGCTCACTGGGTAATACTCCTTTTGGGGCACAACTTTATATTTGTTATTATTTAATTATTTGCATCACATGCCCATCACTTGTCCGGCTTGCAGAATGGGCTTTCCCTAGTCCCACTGTCCGCTTGCAAGTGGATATCATGACCAAGGAGTTGAGATTATCTGGCACATGTTGACATTTCCCCATGTGGATTTTCAGCTGTGACACTGTTGTTGTAAGAACTCAAAGCAGAGTTTCCCAAGGAAGGGAGCCTTGAAGCTGCTCCTCCCACCTCACCTGTCCCCCCGGGAGTAGTCCAGGGTGCAACACATTCCCAGAGGCTCGTAGTCATAGCGGCCCCAGCCCAGGAGGGGCAGTGCTGCCCAAAAGGCAGAAGACAGCCACACACAGATCACCAAGGAGATGGCCGTGTCCCATGCCAGCTGGCTGCCTGCATGGGAGAGAGGAGGAGGAGGAGGTATTTGCTTGGTGGCGTGCCAAAGAATGGACTTCATGGTCACACAGAATGTTCCTAAATCCTGGCTCTGATGCTCCTTAGTGCCTCAGGCAAGTTGAAAGTTTCTCTGAGCCTCCATTTTCTCCTCCACAAAATGGGAAGGATAATCCAGGTCTCAGAGGATGGTTATGAAGAATAAAAGAGATAATGGGTGGCGAAAGTCTCCTGGGAGACATTCTATACCACCTTCTTTAGAGCACAGAGAAGGAGGGAGCAGCAAAAAAAAAAAAAAAAAAAAAAAAAAAGGCATGCCTCCCCAAGTTAACTAGGGAAGAAACATGGGCAGTGCAGTTCAGGTAAGGGTCACAGGGAGGGAGGCAGAAGTCTGGACTTACCACGGTCCTTGGCTGTGGCTCAGACACAGGCCACTGTCCCGCTTCCAGGATACCTTCTGAGGAACTGGGGTGCATCTCAGTGCTGATGGCAGGGGCTTGGTCCCAACATCATTTTTTCATGTGACCAGTCCCACTGACCTGACCTCCTCCATGTCCCCTCCTCCCACGCCCCTCTCTGTAGCAGCCTCCTCCAGCCCTTCCCGATCCGGTGGTTCCTCCTGGTCCTGGCTTCAGAAAGCTTTTCCCTTGCACCTCATCTGTCTGTGGTTTATTTGTCATGTTCTTTTGTGGACAAGGCCCCAGGGCAGAGGGCAGGTCTTCAGGTAGGGTTTGATCCACAGAGAAGAGCAGATCTATACCTTCCCGCATCTGGACACTGCTTCCCCGACAACAGCCCTGGAGGCAGTTTGCTTGAATGTGTCCTCCTGCTATGGACTCAGTGTTTAAGCCTTGACCAAACTCCTGTGTGGAAGCCTCCCCCGCCCTGCCCCCCACCACGTGATGGCATTCCAGGAGAGAATCTTTGGGAAGTAATTAGGTCACACGGGTGGAACTCCCATGATTTGATTAGTGCCCTTATGTGAGAATATACAAGAGAGATGATCTCGGGGTGCCTGGGTGGCTCAGTTGGTTAAAGCCTCTGTCTTCAGCTCAAGTCATGATCTCAGGGTCCTGGGATCGAGCGGGGAGCTTGCTTCCCCCTCTCTCTCTGCCTGCCTCTCTGCCTACTTGTGATCTCTATGAAACAAATAAATAAAATCTTTTAAAAAAAGAGATGATCTCTCTTCTCCATGAGGTGACACAGCAGGAAGGCAGCCGTCTGCAAGCCTGGAAGATGCCAGAAGTATGCCATGCTGGAACCCTGATCTCAGACTTCCAGCACCGAGAAACTAGGAGAAATCCATCTCTGTTGTTTCAGCATCCACGTATGGTATTTTGTTATGGCGGCCCAAGCTGACGGAGACACCCCTTCCCCTGACTTGGACACAACGATTAATAGTTACCATAACTGATGTATTGCTCTTTTGGCTTTGGAAAGAGATAACCACGGTGATATGTCCAGGGTCATCCAGTATGGAGTGGATAAGCTCAGACACCCACCTTCCCCCTCCCCTGCTTTCATATTGTTCCACGGTACCCTCCAGCTTAGGAGAGGCTTTGCTCTAGGGACTCCAGAATAGGGATCAACTGCTCTATACTGAGGGAGAGAAGTGTGTTGCTGTCCGAAGATGTGTGCATTGTGTATGTGCATGTGTGTGAGTGTGTATGTGTGTATATGTGTGCATACAGTGGTCTGAGGGAGACTTGGGGGCCAGACTGGGATAGGAGCAGCAGGAGAGGAGCTCTGAGGTCAGGTAGGGCAAGTGAGACTCACCTGCCTCTAGAAATGATAATCTTATCATTTTTATCAACTTTCTGGCCTGGGGAGAGGTATGTGACTTTGTCGAGGGTGGGGTGGGGTGGGCTGTGTATGTTGGGGGGATGGCGGGGTGAGAGCAGAACTTCAGATTCCAAAGGGGCCTTGCCCAGGGCTTCAGGCCATGCTGGCCACAGCCACCACAGCAGGCTCCATGCCAAGAAAGCCACAGGTCGGGATGTGGAGCCCAGGAAACAAAAGTAGTGAGTGACGTGGGAGGCATCCCAGCCATGCCCAGTGCCTGCTCTGCCTCTCCTAGCTGGGTGACCTTGGGGAAGGGCTTAACTTCTCTGAGCCCCCACTTCCCAGTCTGCAAGTTGGGGTTTGTGATAAGGGTCAGCAGACTCACAGCTCCCCGAGGTCTGTTCACATATCCCTGGCGGGGAGCAGGATTCTAGATGGCCAGTGGGTGAACATGTTTTTAAATTTTAATGTGTACTAAAATTGTAAGGACATTAAAGTTGTGATTTCAGAGACATTGTTTAGGATGAGACTAGAGCAGGTGTTTGTGTTTTTTTAAATGAATAGCTTTTAAGAAAAAAAATCAAGTAAATAACAGAGTGGGTGGTACAGTGACATAGCCAGTTGTGAAGGTGGCATTTGACAGTGCAGCTTGGGAGATCTGGGGCTGGACTGGTCTTCATGAAGCCCCGAGATGGTGGAGGCCCCACGGAAGCGTGAGGTGCAGGGATACACACCCACTACACACACACACACACACACACACACACACACACACAGTCTCTCTGCCCCCCAACGGGGCCCGTCTGCAAGGCCATTTCTGTATCTATGACTTTAGTTGATTTTCAGAATAAAACTGGGAGGTTGCTTATAAAACTCTGCTCTTAGAGGAGACAGAGGTTTAGAGAGGACTCCTGATTTGCCTGATGCTGCATTGACATTCCAGCACGGGCCTGGGGGGCCTTTCCTGTCCGCTCTCCCTGCCTCCTTCCTTTCCACATACTTACAGACACTCAGGCCCACCTAGTCTCCCCTGGACTGGGAAACACAGAGCAGACCTTTGTTCTGATCACCCTCACCGCACAGACGTCCCTCCCTCTGGGAGCACCAAGACTTACGCATGCAGTAGTGGTGATAGCGCCCCCAGGCGACGGCCGCGGTGCTGCAGATGCTGGCCAGCGCGGTCACAAAGCCCTGGAAACCGTGAGCCTGGCAGCCATCGGAGCCATAGGGCCAGCTCCTGTGGGAGACACCGGGGCCGACGACCCCTTCCCTCCGTCCCTGCCCTTCTCCCACACCTGCCCCTCAGGAGCTTGGAGGGCACCCTCCTGAATGTTGGCCTGGGTCCCCAGAAGAGGGCTTCATTGTCTGTTTTTCCTACAAGGAAACAGGGGCCCCAGAGGTCAAGTCCCTGGGCTGACCAAGTGAAGCCCAATGCAAACTTCCTGGGTGCAGTGTCCTTCTCTGCAGCTCAGACCAAAGGGTCTTTCTGTGTGGTCAGAAGCCTTCGGCAAAGGAAATGGGACATTCTGGGAAGAGAGCCCATGCCTTTATTCTACAGAGAGGAAAAATTTAGGCTCAGAGAAGAAGAGGTTAGACAGCAGATGAAGGGAAAGTCAGAAGGGAGACCCCAGGGCTCCCCGCTCTCAGCCCCAAGGGCCAAGCAAGTGTAAAAACTTCTACTGCCTCCTCCCAGAACCTGGAAGGGGCAGGAGGAGATCAGGACAGGAAATCCTCAGGGATCCCGACCCCACAGACTGGTCAGCCCTGAGCACGCACACTCAGGTGGGCTCCAGCCTTCATTTGAGTGCCTGGAACCGGAGCAGGTTCACTTAAGAAAACAATTTGTAAACACCCGACACTGTCTTGAAAGATCTTGGTTTGCACCTAAGGAGGTTTTAGACACTTGTGTTTGTAAAAGCAACTGCATTTTGACGTCTGTTGGGCTTCTTGCGTGCCACGCATCATTTTCACTTATTTCCACCTAATATCAAGTGAATACTTCCAGCCACCCTATGATCTGGAGAATAATATTCAACTTACGGCAGAAACCAAGAGATAGCCAGCACTCACATCGAGGCAGCCAGTTTGCGGAGCCTGTGCCCTTCATCCCTATAGTCTGCCAGGTCTGTGGGTGGGTTTTGAGCAACTCCTGTGCTCCAGAAATCAGCCGTGGGTCTTCAGGGATAGTGTGGAATTCGGATTTAGCCTCGTACTGCCTGCCCACCCTGTTCCCTACGGTTTTCTATAGGAGGGGAAAATGCCTCTGGCTTGGCTGCCCAGTGCCCAGTGCCCAGTGCCCAGCGGTCAGGCCCCAGGGGGTGGGGGGAGCTAGTACCGGCGGAGGCTGGCTATGGCTGCAACGAGGGCGTTCAGGCTGATCCCAGAGTCTGCCAGAGCCAGGCTCAGCACCAGCAGGTGGGTAGGGGTCCGCAGCTCTGGCATCTTGCAGAAAGAGAGGATGGTGAGACTATTGAGGCAGAGGCCGGTGAGCGCTGGAAAGAAGGGGGAGGCAGGTGTCAGGGCTGGAGAGGCCGACTGGGGTCAGAACCAAGGGTCTGGGGTGGACGGAGCCTCAGCCTCCTGCCCCTTCATGCTCAACAACCTTGTCGGTGCAGCTCGTCAAAGATATCTGAGAAGCGCTGGCTCTCAGATACCATCGGCCATAAGACGCATATCCTGCCTCCTCCTGACTCAAAAGTAAGGAAGAAAGCAGTAAGGTGCAGTGTGGTTCATCCGGGAACAGTCGCAGTCACTGACAGCTGCTGACACTTACCTGCACAGGGGACTGAGAACTTTCTTAGGGTCCTCCTGCTCAGTGTTCACCTGGATGCTGTCCTCTCCATGTGCAGCTGGGAAACAGGCTTAGAGTGACTAGTTGGCTTGCCCTAAGCACACAGCTGGTGAGTGTGGCAGAGCTGGGACTAAGACTCACATCTGTTTAATTCCAAAATGCCACTCCGAGGGCCGTTCAGCAACATTAGGGAGAGCCGGGAGAAGGGTATGAGTTTTGAGCTGGGGGCTGCCTGGGACAGCAGCCGGTGAGGTGGGCTGGAGGGGGCAACCTTAGGCAGCAGGCAGACCAGACCTGGAGCTTTAGCTTGGTCTCTCACTTGCTGCTCCTTTAGGTCTCTGAACCCTGGCTTCCCCATCGAAAGGGAGGAATGTTTACTGGGAGGACAGGGTGTGGAAGAGCATTCAAGACAAGGGGAACAGCATGTGCAGAGACTTAAAGTGGTAAAGTTTCAAGGTATGACTGAGGACTGAGAGGGTTGCTGGATTGTAGGGTTCCTAGAAGAGAGGAAGAGGGGCAGGGCCCCCAGACAATGGTGTCCAGTGTCTTCGGGATGGGCCTAGTGGCTGCCACTCCCTCCCCAATGTCAGTTCTCCTTGGGGGAGGAAACAGGTTGACAATCTCTCTGGTTCAGATGTGAACAAGGGCTGCATTCCTGATTAACAGTTGTCAACTGACCCAGCACCAGGTCTCCAGGGTCAACTCTGGCCTCGAGGAGCATTTGAGGGATTCTGGGCTAAGATGGGCCCCTCAGGAAGTTAGGCAGCCCCTGGAATGGAAATGCTTAGAGCTGGGGAATGGAGATGACGGGAGCAATGTGGAGATGGAAAGGATGGGGGCAAAAGAGATTAAATCCTGAGTGTCCGTCGAGGCTAGACCTTCGCACCCATGACCCCTCCTAACCTTCAGGATCACCCACGTGGGGTCCAAGAACCTGGCTGACTTGGTTATAGTCATGTGGAGAGCAGGTGACAGAGCTCTCTGTCTCCAGAGCCTGCCAGAGGTCTGAGCTTACATGAGATTCTTAGCAGGATTTTCAGGGAGTAGGTTAAACTTTAACCCAGCTGGGGGGACAAGAAAAGGCCTGAGCCTGGTTCTTGGTTATGTTCTGGGCAGACTCTCTGAGCCCTGCTGGTTTCTCTCAGCTCCCAGCCTGCATCCCACAGGTGCACCCATCAGAAGCCCCATGGGTGTAGGTGTAGGGTTTGGGTGTAGGGTTTGGGGACAGAGGAATAGGGTTTGGGGACCTCTGCTTGTCAGCTCCATAGCTGTGGCCTGAATCTGGGAGCCCACTGGGTCCCCGCTCCACCCAGGCCGTTTCTTGCTCACCTTCTACCAGCAGCACCGTCCCCACAGCCAACACCTCCAGCTCCCCGAAGCCGGTGGGCAGGGACCCCGATTCTGCCATACTGGGCCCTTGTCCCTGCCGCCCAGCTCCTCTCGGGCTCTCTAAGCCAGGCCCCACCTTTTAAAGGGCCATTCCACGTGCAGGCACATGCAGGTGATTATGTTAGGCCTTGGGCTCCTTCTTGCTGCCCCTGCCCTAAACTGTGCTTTTGGCCCAAGTAGAAAGAACACATTCATCAGTTGGACAGTGCAGCCTTTGTGAAGCTGGAATGGGCCCCTTTTTCGTTCATTTCAGCCCAATCGGGCAGGATTAAGTTCCCAGAATCCAAACGGTTGTGGCTGAGAGCCAAATTAGAAAAGAGTTGCATAACCAAGGGAGGGGTGGGGAGCAGAAAGAGGGATTTGAGCGGCAGCTGTCCCTGAGAATTGGTTCCCGGCCAACCCCTCCCCGGCTTGTGTGTCCTCACAAGTGAAGGGTAAAGGATGATAATCGGCAAGCCAGTGTTGTCATAGAAAGAATCCCAACACGGACCAGTGACGGAGTTTGTGGTTCAGAACCTTCCATTAACCAGCTAGGTGCACTGGGGTGGGACCACCTGGGTCTTCTCAGTTTCTTCCTTTGCAAGGTAAACAAACATGTTTGGGGAGTCTGGGTGGCTCAGTGGGTTAAGCCTCTGCCTTCAGCTCAGGTCGTGGTCTCAGGGTCCTGGGATCGAGCCCCGCATCAGGCTCTCTGCTCAGAGGGGAGCCTGCTCCCCTCTCTCTCTCTGCCTGACTCTCTGCCTACTTGTGATCTGTCTGTCAAATAAATTTTAAAAATCTTTAAAAAAACAAACAAACATGTTTTCCCACGGCCTGCATAAGTCTTGGTGGAAGAATACATCATTCATATGGCCTCTGGGCTGCAGCTCCCAACTCCCATGGGGCATTTACTCTACATAAGCATAAAAATCTCCCAAGGCATGAGCTTGGCACAGGGGGGCTGCTGTCTTAGCAGCCTCTCAACCTGCTGAGAGCTTTGGCTTTTACAGATGAGAAGTTATGTGTTGGCCAATGGTGAAATTGATATGGGGAAATACTGATCTAGAGTGATTTCACTCATTTTCAGATAAAGAAACCAAGACCCAGAGCTCTATCAACAATATAGCTAATGTTGAGGCCCTGCTAAGAGCCAGACTCTGGGCTAATTGATCTGAGGATGATTCCTACAGCAACTCTATGAATTAGAGACAATCATCCTTTGCATTTCCTGTGAGGAAGCAGGTTCAAAGCAGTTCAGAATTGACCTGAGGTCACGCAGTGATTTGTGAATGAAGCTGAAACAAAGCCCCATCTCCTGTCCCCGGACTCTGGGTCAAGCAGCTCATTCTATCCCACAGATGTTCATTTCCCATGCTTTTCCTGCTGTCAGTCCCCACTTAATCAAGCCCAACCACACAGCAGGGCTGAGCAGACCACCCATATCCTCCTGGAAAACTTTCTTCGGATAACCCAGTTACCCCTTTTTCCTAATTTCTATCTTGCATTACTGGTTCATACATATGTCAGGTTTTTTTCATGCCTACAAGATTACAGAAGACTTCAAGGGACAGGGGAAAGCAGGACATGGAAAGGAAACAAGGGTTGAGCTCTGTTAGGCCAGAGAGAGACGGGAAGACATCCCCAGCTGAAGGTGGGAAGGGCAGAGATGTGGGAATAGTAAGGAGTGCTCTTCTTGGTTTTGGGAGGAGAGACAGGTGGGAAGCAGTGAGAAAATCATATTGGCTAGGTTGGAAAAGAGGAAGAGAGGGAAACCAACATTTCCTGGAAGCCAAGATTGTCAAAAACAGAACCGGCACAGAGCTAGGCATTTCATGTGTGCGCTAGGGTCCTAGGTATCTGCTTGGTCATACCTCACTGGTCTAAGCCTGCCTAGGCCTATAGGTTGGAGGAACTGGGGAATCTTCTGGAAAAGCTGAGGGAACCAGGAAGGCCATGCCGGACCAAAGAGCAGAGCTTTGGGGTCACAAGTGAAGAACGAATGAGCAGAGGGTGATGTCTATGATGCGACGAGGTAGTGATGAAGTTCTACAACCTAGGTGAGGTTCGGTGGGCTGAGGTCCAGAGCCGATGACCAAGGAAAAATTCTTGAGACATCTTTGGCGCAAAATGGTGGTTTATTAAAGCGCAAAGCGCGGGGACAGGACCCGTGGGCAGGAAGAGCTGCTGCCCTGGGTTGTGAGAGATGGCAGGTTAGGTACCTTGCGATTGGGGGAAGGTGAGGGAAGGGAGGTTTCAACAGAGTTTTCATATGCTAAAGAGGGCCTACCAAGTGCCCAGATACCGGAGGACTTGTGGCTTGATCAATGTTGTCTTTTGGCCAACCATTAACATCAAGATAGTTGGGAGATTCCTGGTGGGATGTCACAATCCTGCTATCAAGCGTCTTTGTTAGTGAGATTTAGGTTCAGAAGAGATTTAACTATACTTACATTTCCTTCTACCTCAGCCTCCTTCAGTTTTGTTTATGGAGGGGAGGGTGACATTAGGGCTTGAACTGAGTTATTTGCCTCTGGAAATTGTGTTGTGGATAAGGTAACTTCTTTGTTTGTAGATCTCTAGGACATTTGTAAACCAAGAGAGACTCCTGTCTTGTAGGATTGTGATTTCTGCAAGTTAACTATTTGTTTCTTGCTTATGGCAGTCAGGGGTGCCTGAGGAATGTCACACACATCACCGAGGGGAGCCGGTGGAGAGGGGGTGCAAGGTACCAGCTTTTGCTTTGTCCTCAGCCAGCCTCCTGCTCCCTCATCAGTAGGAGGCAGGCAACAAGCCGCAAAAACTCAAAGTGCTTTCTCTAAGAAGTCCTGAGGTCCTGCTCTGGGACTTTGCTCAGAGTACGATAACCAGAGGAGAGGGACGCTCTCCGCCTTCATGCAGACACCTCACACCTTTGGCATTGATGGCGATGCCCACAAAGGCTTGGCTTGGACAGTGTGTTCTGACACTGCATGTCCAGGGGGCATTCAGGGAGCCAGCTGCTCAGCGGAGTGGGAAAGTTCACGACACCATGGGACATGCCTCTGCGGTGTCCCCCAAGATCTCTGAATCTTTCCAATATCTTTAGGAGCAAGTGCTTGTAAGTACTAGTGAAACTGAGTACTTACAACTTAGGAGGGGGCTTCTATTCCCACAGGCCTTCAAAATCTGGGAACATGGGGTGTTGATTATTCACAACCACGCGGGGTAGAGTAATATTACTTCCGTTTTTCGGATGATGAGGAGATTATGTAACTTATCCTAGTAAATGGGTAGAGCTGGGATTTGAACCCTCGCCCTTGAGCTGTCACGGGAGAGAATTTCCAGTGGCCCTTATCAGAAACCAGGTCTGTCTTCACCTTCTCTAAGCCCAGGTACCCAGGCAGGGTCTTTGTAGCCCACAGCCTGGCTGGCATGGGGTGACCTTGCAGGTGGACAGCCAAGCTGGCCGGTCCAGGAGCCACTTGCCCCTGAGTTGCTGCCCACCCGCCCCACCTTGCCACTCCCTGGCCTCTCTGGGCCTGGGGCTGTTGCTACCGAAGAGGATCCCTGACCCTCACCCTCAGGACTGGGTGATTCCAGGAGCTCTAAGCCGCTAAGTGCTGTGGCCAGGGCTCCCCTCCCTAATCCCCGGTCTGTCCCTGTTTATCCGATGGCCTCAGGAGGGGTGTGGAGGGGGCTGATGAGCCAGTGGGCAGCTGCTGGGCTTCCTGGGCCAAGACGACAGAGCAGTGCAGGGACAGGCCCCGGCCCGGGCTACAGAGGAGCCAGGAGCCATGAGGGTGGCAGTGGGCATGCTCTGGCTCCTGGCCCTCTGGGGGCACCCCCAAGCCCAGGGCTCCTGCCCGTCTCAATGCAGCTGCAGCCTCCACATCCTGGGTGATGGCAGCAAGGCCAGGTATGGCATCAAGTGTGGGGGATGGGTAGCCTCCTCCCCTCGCCCCTCTCCCCGGGTCCCTGTAGCATCTCGGCTGGGTTGGGAGGCCTGGATGCAGGGTCCCCAGAACATGGCTGGGTGAGACCTCCATCTTTGGGCCCTTGAGACCCAAGTGTCCAAGGGGGCTGGTCTGTTGTGCATTGTCCTTCAGCCACCAGGGCATGGGAAGTACCAAGTCCCTTTACACATGGGAGTGGGGGTGGGGCACCAGTGTGCCCACTCCAGGAAATCCTTCCTGAGTTCTCTTCCAGGATCCTGGTGGTGAGGAACCCTCTGCAGGGCAGGGGGGTCTCCCCCTTACCTCTTTCTTTTCCTCTCCTTCCTTTCTTCTTCCCATTCCACCATCCTCCCTATATCTCCCAGCACCTTTTCTCCCGGGCCTCTTCCATTCTCTTGCCTTGCCTCCTGGGGGTACACAATCACATCCCAGGTATTTCATGCCATTCCGCCCATAATGCGACCACCTGCCTTCTCCTGCTTTCTCCACTTTGGGCTCCTCTGGTCTAGCCCCCAGAAGCCTTGGCCTCAACCCATTTCTTTGGGCTTTTGGAAAGGCCAGGAATCCTCATTCCATACAGGCAAGCACCCCTCCATTCTCAGCCTTTTCTTTCACTTCCCTAAGCCCCACCTGAGCCCTGAGAGTACCTCCATCCTCTCCTCCTCCACTTTCATGGGATGTTCCAAAGCCCCTGTGATCTGTGAACCCTTGCTCTTCCACCATGGGCCACTCTCCTTTTTCTCTCTGGTAGTCTTTACACCATCTTTTCTCTGATATCTTCAACTTACCCACTAATGACCATTGCATTTCCCAACTTGCTCAGGGATTTTAGCTCCTGGCACAGGGTCTTTCCTAACGTCTTTTCAACATCCTGGAATTGTATTCTCCTTTTCTTCCTTGTTTTAGGTGGCTGCTTGCTGGGAGCCACTGAGGTTTCTGATCAGAGCAGCAAGTTATCAGTGTGACCCTTACAATGATCCTGGCAATGCATGGTGGGTTGATTGGGTGTGAGGGGATGGAGTGAATGGAGAGGCATTCCCACGAAAGGATATCCATGTGGTCTGAAGAACAAGAAAAGCTCCATTCTTGACCCAGGTCTCTGATGTTCCAACCCATATGGATCATTAGATATAAGG